CAACACCACCACCAACACCACCACCAACACCACCACCAACACCACCACCACCAACACCAACATCAAAACCAACGTCAACGTCAACGTTGACAACATCACAACACCACAATATCACACACGTCCACATCCAACACAACACCTCACAAACACCAAGTCGTCACCATGGGTTGCACCAGCTCCAAACAACAAGCCAGCAGAGGAGAGCCAACGCCATCTCCCAGAATGAGATCGGTCGCCTCCCCAACACCAACCGCCACAAGCACCCTGTCGACCAAGCCAAAGAGGCCCAAGGCCAGAAAGTGCCCCACGCCCAGCTCGCGCTCGCACCACGTTCACTTTTCGGACCACATCACCATCAGCAGCCAGTATGGCCATCCGTACCCAGAGTACGACCCTCACCCAGGACGTTCGTACTCGTGAAGGAGTCATTGGAAGGGTTTGACTGGCAGAGTGGTGGTGGTTGAGGAGGATTAGAAAAGGGATTTAGGGCGTGGGACGTTCCAGGAGAGAAACAAAAAGGCTGAGAAAACAAGTCAACAGAAAGAGGAGGGGGCTCTGCAAATGGACAGCCACCTTCACGTTGGTGCAGAGTGTGAGTAGCCAGCCTGCAGTGGTTGGCTGGTGAAACCAAGAGCTGTCTCCTGTCTCCTGTAGCTTTTTTTTCATAGCTGGAATCAAAGAACTTTAACGCAAATATAGTCTGGTTCTAACGATTCGTGGTATTTTAATCCGGCACGGGCCACCTTTGGAGTTACTGGTGCTCCAACCCTGCTGAAAATAACACCCACAGTTACAAATGTTGCTCCTTGACATCAACATTGTCATTACCCACGACCTTTTCCGTAGAAGTCGAGAAGAGAGGGCGGAGTGCTTCAACGGCAAGACATGTGAACAAATCTGTAGAAGTGAGAGCCTCGCAGTCACTTGCCGTCCAGGATGAACCTGAAAGAACACATGGCCCAGTGTGAGGCCAACAGTGAACCAAGCTTCAGGTGGCCGTGCAGGTCACCGCACTCAACGTCGCAGGCGCTGGCAGGTTGAGTAAAAGGTAAATCGCGCAGTATCGAGAGCGATGTAATCAATGTTCGGAATCGCTGAACGCGTCGAGGATTGCTGCGGTCAAGCAGTGTAAAAAACCGCGCAAAGTAACTCGTCATGATCTCATTCTGCGCCAACAGGCTAATTGCAAAAAGTGCTCCCCAATTCACAAATCGTTCTGTTCGACGCGATAGAAAGACACACAATGTAAAATACCATCTCTTGTCTTTGACATTTTAATGTTCATCATTCGTTCTTCGATCATTTTAGGCGAGGAACAATCTCCCGACGACCGGATCTCAAATCTCAGACATGTGTCAGATTGGATACTGTATCCTCAGCTGCATTTGAGCTCATGACGAGAAGGCTTGGTTGAAGGGCTCTCAAAAGGTCGTCTTGTTGCTGTTGTGGGAAGACATCTCCCAAGACAAGACAGCGTGGCAATAAGTCGTATTCACATCAGATAAAGTCGTCCTCGTCGTTGTCCAATTGGCCCTTCTCTTTCCGAGCACGTCTCCGCTCCCGGATCCTCTTCTCCGTGGCCATAAACTCTCGAATGCCAACGGGGATTCCCTGAAACAGGACATCCTCCTCCTTGGCCTCTGCCGATGCTGAAGGAGTCGTCCAGAGGCTTTCACTCCCGCCGCCGTCATCGTCCATACTTCCCGAAGCGTCGCTCACTTCGGGTCTCGCCATCTCGATCTTGGGAGCCCCGCGTCGCTGCTTCGGCGCTTTGGACTGCGCCTCCCGAACCCGGGCTGCCCACTCTTCCACATCGTCTCGATAATCGTCCCAGACGCAGTGCACGCAGCCGCTCATGCAGCAATTGTCAGGCTCGGCCGGTTTGGGAGGCACGGGGACGCCGTTGATGGTGCGCCACGTCGAGTCCGGCGTGCTCGACGTCCGCCGTTCATATCCTGACCCGCGTATCGAGCCGAAGACCTTCCGTGCTCTTTCCATCTTTTCCTCGTCGCCAGGTTGTACAAAGGTGGGCAGGTCTGAGTATGTCGCAGGATGTTTCTCGATCGGTGTCGACAGAAGCTCGGTGTAGAAGTCACCGAGTGGCATGGCCTGGTGCTGTTCATCAGGCACTCTTTGACGCGACGGTGCAGTAGTGGTGAAAGATCGCAGGCCCTGCACAGGGTGGCCTTGTACGAGAGACTTAGAGTGAGTCGGCCGGGAAGCGCTGCGCAGGCTGGATGTTGAGACTCGGCGCTGCTGGCCGTTCAGTTGTTGCTGGAGACAGGACGTACACGTCCATTTGATGCGTAAAGGCATGTTTAGAGTTGGAGTTCTGCAGACGCAAACAGCTGTGGAACACGACTAATAAAGACTACTATCTACGATGGAGCGCCACAGAGGAACTTGGCCCTTGCGATCCTTTATGACGATGCGTCGTTTTTTCCCTCATATTTTTTTCATCCGTGGCAGCCAGCGGGAGCTCCCATGCAGGTGATGTCACTCACAGCCACCACTTCTGGCACTGGGCACCCGGCTGGTGTCTTGGCTTATTCAGAGACGCCAGCCTCGTCTGCAGCCCCAGAAGCGGCCAGAGTTCCCCGAACCCGCGACAAGGCTGTGCCTAAATAAATATCCCATAGAACTCGGTAAATAATCTCCGCTCGCCCTCGGGTTACTCTACGGGGTAATGTGAGGCTTTGGAGACCGCGGGTTGGGGGATTGCGATTTGGCGCCCCTGACTCGACTTTACTCCAACACATGGCTCATGGATGTTACCCCCTTTGCTTCCAGACTGGTCGATCTCCCTTGCATTTACTTTTACCGAGTACATTGCGCGAGTTTCGATTTTTTTTTTTGTCCCCCTTCTCTCCTTTTTCCACCGCCACTGCCTATATTAGACTTGTTGTTTGCTCTCCGTCTCCCTCTTTCCCAGCCCTTGCTACATTCTTTATAGATTTCGAATCATTTACAGTCCTTCGTTTTCACTCAGCGCTAGACAACCTCGATAGACAACTACTCAGATTATCGCTTTAGAATCCACCCACTCACCTTAGAGGGATCGCCAAAACAAACACACGAAACAAAACACTCCCGCAAAAAAATAAAAAAAATGTCGCACTTTACCATCGGCACGTTCGTCGCCTCCACGGCCACCGCCCTCGCGCCCTTCCTCGTCGTCTACTACATGCCGCAAAAGACGCAGACCCCTTCGTCCACGCTGTCGGCTCTCCCCAAACCGCGTCCCCTGGCGGCTCTGCGCGACGCGCGCGAAACTGCAAAGACCGCACCGGAATTCAACCTCCTCTGATTTCTTCCGACGCGGTTCCTGCTCTCTCTCTCTCTCTTTCTCAGAAAGAAGAGGGATGATCAACGTGAAGTGAAGGGTTTCGGTCAGGTTATGTTGTGGTGGGTTCTTCAGGGATGAGTTTTGATTTGATGGGTAACGACCGACGAAGGTTCATGATTGACTGGCGCATTAATAATGCATGATGGGTACAACGAGAAAGCGGGCATTGTCTTGCCGCGCGAAGCCAGGTCATGATCATGCGGTTTCTAGCGGTCGGTATTGATGATGGCAAGCATGTATTTGTGTGTGGTACAAAGAGGATCATGGTATAGATCTCTCCTCAGGCATTCCTGCTCACTCTGCGCATTGCGTTTCTCGCGATGACAAAGATGAATGGAGGAAAATGATATTGTGTCTCGATCCTATCCCGTGCTATCGCTTGTTATAAGCGGACCGTTCCGTACTTTTGACTTCAACTAGAATATTAGCCTAGATCCGCGACAGGAGGCTTGTACCAAACACACAATCATGTCCATCTCCCATGGAAGGCATTACCAGATTATTTCTCCATTATTAACGTATCTACCTAGCTATACAACAAGCCAGAGAAGTAATCTCTGTGAAGAACCGTGGAAGCCCGAGACACCATCCACGAAAACGTGCCCCTGCTCGAAATCACTTTGTTCAATCTGCCAGTAATTAATCACCACGACAATCATATCTCCCAATAATAGAGCCCCTTGCAATCAGTTCACTACTACATAGATGGGCCTGACGGGCGGAGTATGAGACCCGAGGTCTGTGAGCCTCGCAGGATCCGTTCCGTCAAGTGGCTGACTATGCTGGAAGTACCAAGTAATAACAAGGTCTGACCACCGCTCATCTAAAAATGGACGACATCCGCTCGGTCAGCCTGCCGCTCAACGACCGAGCTGTCTTGCGTTTGTTCTTCATTCTCCCATCCAAGTCCCAGGAGGCTGGGGTTACGGCGGCCTCGAAATAAGATGGCGGAGCACCCGAGATGGCTGCCTCTGGCGTGCTCACATGTCTCCTGCCGGGCAGGGAGGTCGCTCCGCTTCCGCTTGCACTCCCCACGACTTGCTTCTCGTCAGACACAGACACAGCCATAGGCGGTGCTTGCGCGCGGCTGATGGCAGGCAATGTAGTAGTGGTACTTGGCGCGGGGCGAGTTCTGATCGAGGCCCGGAAAGACGATGGAGCAATCGCGGATATCATAAACCCTGGCCTCGCGTTGACGCGGTATGGTCTCTCGCGAATCGATGCGGTGTGCGCAATGACCACGGCATCGCGCAGCTTGCGGAGGTCTGCACCGTAATGCTTCAGCGAATACAGCCGTTTCGCGAGTTTGTCGACGCCCTTGGCGTCCAAAAGCTCTTCATTCCTGCCCTTGTCCACGTTGGATTCGAAGAGGTCGACAAGCTCCTTGTACTCGCGACGATACTGCTGAAAAGCATCGAGCCGTTGCCTCTTGCCGCCGATCGCTACCTTGGACTTCTCCTCTTTGATGAGATGGTCCAGGTACTCGAGCGTGGCATCGTTGTACGGGGTAATGGAATGGTGCTTGAGCCACAAGCTAAACTGCACTGCCGCCTTTTGAATCTCTTTATGTTCGCGTTTGAACTCTGCGACCGTGGCTTCTTTCGCCTTGATTGCAGCCTCGATGATGGTGGTGACCTTTGCATTCTCTTGCAACAACATCTCGACTTTCGGATCTTTGATGGTCCTTTTTGTCTCCTTGTGTTCGTACAGGATATGCTTGTGCTCTGTCCAATGATGCCTGCAACCTTTACAGTGCTGTGAGCCGGCGAATGCCGCGCATCTGACCAACTCTGGTGTTCCCACCTTTTCAACCGGGACATTGGTCAGACAGCAAGGGTTGTGACAGAGGACTTTGTGTACAGTGTCCTCTCCATTGGGGCCTGGAGTATCAACCTTTTTGATGCATCTCGCATTGGTACAGACGGTCTTTGGGCGAGTGACTGGGCTGAAGACCACCGAGTTTTGCTTCACGTCTAATTTCTTCAGCATTTCGTCCTTGCTCAATTTGCTGTTCCGCAACAGCTCGTTGTCTCTTTGGTTCAACTCGATGGTATCGTTGATCTTTTGTGCTATCTCAGCCATGGGCTTGGTCAACTGGAGGATCAAGCGTCGAGCCTCATTCAGACTGAGAGTATTCTCCACTTGATGAGGCTCCAACTGGCGGATATAGTTGAGCAAACGTCGAGACTCGGTAGCAGACTGCTCCCAACTCCGGCAATAATCGTTGAAGCTGCCCAAGCTGACATTTTGTTTATGAGCAGCCAGGTAGCGGAAGCTCTCCGAGTCAAAGCAATAGACTGTGTCGCGAAACAGCCCAAGATTGACGTCGCGGAATTGTTTCAACACAGCCTCTAGTGGTATGAAGGTGTCTCCAGGATGATAATTCGAACCACGAGTGTTGGTGAAACCAAACACCATATTGCGTGCAGCATTTCGATGCAAATGTGTCAACAACTCCTTGATACAAAACTCGAACATGACGTTCAATCGAGAGTTGTTTGGCTTGAGGAGTATCAGAATGCCGTGCAGCTCCTTGTAGTTGCTCAGCACTGACAGGATGTCCGCCATGTTGGCTTTGTCCTGGTCCAGACCTCTGGTATCGCCGATACCAGGGGTATCAATCAAGCGCACCATGACCGAATTGACGAAAATAGGGTACGTGATGGCCTTCTGGGTGGCCGACTGGCCGTCAGAGGCGTCATGTTCAAACTCGTCTCTTGCCCCGATCCTGATCTTCCTTTGAATCAGTCTCTGCAGAGGGTCGTTTTCGTCCACCGTCTGAGTGGCAAACGAACATGGAATCACATGCTCTATTTCACTTGCATCCATCGCCTCTTGCAAAGTGCCGTGGGTGAGATAATTTACGAATGCGTTGATCCAGGTACTTTTGCCGACACCTGTCTCGCCCAGGATCAAGATATTGACTTCTTCAAATGGGTCCATGGCATCGAGCATTGCCAAAAGTTGACGGTCCTCATATCGCTCAAAGTTTGGTCCATGCTGCTGTGCGTTGCACCTGAAACCCCAGTAACGATATTTTGTCCGACCACAGTCGCAGTACAGGTAGTGATCTCGCCGGCCGTAGTCGATGGCAGAGTAACATCGAGAACAGATCCACTGACGTTTTGTTCGAGGTACACAGCCTCGTCCCGGACAAGATAGCTTGACAGGCTTCCGATCCATTGGTTTCTTGGTTCCCCACGTATCAAGATGGGCATCGTCGAAATGCATCAAACATTTGTCTGCGAGGAAGTTTTGAAGTTTCTGGAAGTCGTTTGTGATCAGCTTGCCGTCGCGATGGTACACGATATGGGACTTCTCGAGAGACTGCCCGCTATGGTCACAGTCCACAATTCGAACCGACGTTTGCGTGGTGCCACTCTGAAGTATGTGAAAAGTAAGTTGCGAATTGGGCCCCCAAGTTGCGTTGTCATCCATAGCGGTGCGGCTGAAATAAAGAGTATACACATGGCCACGAGGTGTCGGCACCGAACATTCGTTGGAAAAGAAGGCTGCTCCATTCTTTGTTGTTTCGTCGATGAAAGCCAGTTTTCGAGCATAGACATCTGCAACCGCAGTAAGCTGGGCCGGAGAATAGGGGCTCTTGACGAATCTACCAAGGACTTGCCCCAGCTGTCTTGAGCCCATCCGACCATTTCGAAAATCGCGCAGAGCCACGCCGTATTGTTGCCTTAGCACACCCTCTGATTGATTGGCGCGAGCAAGGAAGTCAGAGACTTCGCGAATATGATCCTCCGGTACAAGAGCACGCCGACGAGAAAGATAGGTCCAGTAATCCTTGAGTCGCCGCTGAGCGTTCCTGATCTCTTCGAACATATTCATGTAGTCCGAAAGAAGATCCTCGTTCGGCTGACTGACCATGATTCCGCTGGGCTCGAAATTCAAAATCAGTGAGAGCCAGTGCACTGGGAGGAGCGTGTAAACGATAGGCTGTCCCCAGCCCCCATCCATGTCCAAGATCTGATCTGGTACATTTTGCATGAATTGGCAGGCTCCTTCGAGGTCGGTCTTTAGTGGATTGCTTCCTGACATGTCTGTGCGTAGATAAACTTGAAGCGAATTGGTCAGGTCATGGGATTGAGACGAGTCTGCAGTCTGGGTTCCAGGAGAAGAGATTTTTTGTTCAATGTTGGCATATTCCTTTCGTAGTAGTTCTTTCACCGTATTCCTATCTTCGCCTGCTGATCTATGATAGTTTGCTGTTAGGATGCTCCGATTACCCCATGTGATCTCTGACACCACATGTGTGGCATGGCTTTGCTGTATGTTCTCTCGAGAGATACACTGCTGCAGTTCAGGGCTTGTAAAGTTGATTTTCTCGAGAAACGTGGTGACGACATGTTGTAGGGACATTTGGACTATAAAATTACTCTCATGTCGGTCGAGAAGAGCGCCTGTCGAGCCCGAAGGAACAACTAGTCCTGAAAGGATGCTGGCTTCCAAAGAAGAGTGCACTCCAACAGCGTTAAACTTGTCTTTGAGATCAGAACTCTCGACAACACTGAATCGAGACGATGGACGCGCCTCGCTAGTGACTGCAGTCTCGGGAAGCTGGCGGCTCAGCAATGAAAGTGGTTGAAAAGAGTCGGTCCGTGCATCGTACAGGCTTCCTAGGACGGCAGCCTCACCGAGTGAGACTCTTTTCAGTCCTAGGGAAGACATCTTGATGGCACCGAGACCGAGCAGCAACAGATGGCTGGTGATCCTCAACCGCTTGCTGAAGGCGAAATGTGAGCTGAGCGGGCAGAAGAGGTGATGCACGGAAGATCATGGGAGCTCCGCATTTATCAGGCAAATGGCCAGGGAGTACTGACCGGGTATCAAAGGGTATTCGTAGAGGAGGAAGAAGAAGAACGAGCCTAAATCAGCCTGACCTCGACGCACTTGAACAAGGCGCAGAAGTCACCTACGTCCTGCGCCTCATGCCTGGCGGAAGAATGTGGACGATAACGAACCAATCCATTTTACACGGCATGTGTCCACCAGTCCTTTTCATTGTCGCAATTGGACCAAGAGTACTTACTGGGCGCAAGGAATGGGAATTGGGTCTCAGTCTAAGCGATCTGCAACCACTGCGGTGATAGAGTGTCGGGCGCATAATCTCAGGCGAGGTTGAGATGGCACTGGGTAGTTAGGCGAGGAAAGGCGCCCATGGTCTGCTCGACTTGCGATGACTGAGGCTAGTTCATAAGGCGACACGGCAGAAAGCAGGGACTTGGACCCAGGACTTTGCCAAGGGACCTAGGGGAGGTCATGACCAAAGAAGAGCGTGCCTGGGTCAGCCATATCCAGGTGTGAGTTCCTCGCTGTATCCCTTGTCTGTGTTATGTTTCCATACGTCATGCGAAGTAGGGAATGAGGCTGGACAATCAGAAGGAGGCGTGATGTTGATGGGACGGAAAAAATGCGGTGGTGAGGCTGAAGAAAAGCGCCAGTCCATCTATACGGCCCACCGTAGCGAGTTATATGCGGTGGAGCGTTAAAATCCATGGCGCAGTTTCGCATCCTCACTTCATTGACAATCTTGATAGTGGTTTCTATCTCTTTGCTTCTTGTCCTTGCAAAAATACCTAGTATACACCACCAGTCCGGCTACTGTATCAGATGCAGCTCCGCAAGATCGTCATGAATGGCGCCTTCGAGGTCGATTTGGTGATCGTCGCCATTCAACAGCCCCAAGTAATACGATAGATCACGGCCATCAAACTCTCGAGTCGCAAAGCCGTTACCCAGGAACTCAAACATGTTCAACGAGTTCATATATTCGACCTGGTAGTCCTCGAACCTGGGAGTCGCGAGGAGGTCCATATATACCAGTCGAGAAGCAGGGAACATTGGCAGTGGTCCGTCGACTTTTCCCTGCTTGAACCACGAACTACATCCCTATTATTACGAGGAATATCAGTGCCTTGCCTGGAGTTGGATATCAGGGATACACCCACCGAGGTCCAAGCTGTTCTCTTCAGGAACAGTTGTGCATGTTCTCTGAACTGCTCGGCGATTTCCGGCTTCGGAGTCAGACTCTTTATACGGTCCTTTTGCATCTTTTGAATGCACTGGATGATATTGCCTGCAAGCGTCTCGATGATAGGCAAGAAAGATCCGTGCCCAAGTGGACCGTAAGGTCCACCCATCATGAAATAATTCGGCACTTTCCAATATTCAGTATTCATTAGAGGTAGTGTTAGCGGGGGGTGCATACTGTGAGGAACTCCAATAGAAAGGTATGAATAGGCCTCTTTGGCCCACATCTTTGCAATGCTGTGTCCATTTGCTTCGACCGGAAACCTAGGGATCCAGCTTGTGTTGAACCTGTCATGCACCAGTCAGCCACTCGGTACCGCAAAATCACAATGCGCAGCTGTGAGCTTACCCTGTGGCACAAATGATGATGTCCACATCGTGTTGCTGGCCTTCACTATCGACGAAACCATCCGAGTTGATCTCTTTCATTGGCGTGGTGAAGACTTGGACATTCTCTTGATTCAACGCTTCAAGAAAGCCGTTTCCGGGCTGAGGATCCTGATTTAGTTGGAGTTCATGCACGCTCCTTGGATCAACTCACAGTCGGCCTCCTACATCCCACACCGAAGTTCTTGGGGATGATAGCCTCTAGGAGTTCAGGCTTCGTCGTACCAAGCTTTTGCATCATTTCGTTCCGAGCAAACTGCAGAATCATTTCAGCATCCTCTGTGGTGGTTTGGCAAAGGATTGTCTTACTTCTCTGGCACCTTCGGCCTCGGGTGTCCCATTTAGAATGAACTTGAACCTGACATTCAGCTCCGACTCGATCATTTTCGAATACTTCAAGAATAAGTCCGGGTTCTCAGCAAATCGCCTTTTCTGCTCCTCGGTATCTGTCCCCAGCATTAGAACGTCCACGGTTGTATCCACCAGAGCGAGACGTAATTTGCTTACAGTGGAAATTTCCTCCATTCGGTCCAGCAAACTTCTGAGCAAACCCGGCCGTGATCCACGTTGGCGATCTTACCCACGCGTATAGTTGCTTCACCTGCGACGCAATCTTCGAGATGATTTGGATGCCACTGCTGCCAATTCCAATGACAGCGACGCGTTTGCCAGTCAAGTCAATTTGGGGATCATAGTTGGCGCTGTGCACGAGGGTGCCTTTGAATGAATGCAGGCCCTTGATATCTGGCCATTTCCAGTTACTATGGGCAACACACTTGTCAGCAAACAGGACACGCAGCAAAGCATTAAGGGTAGAAGAAACGTACTTCAGAATGCCTCCACCATTGACGAGGACGTGGCATGTGTCCACAAACTCGGTGCCATCGGGCCGCCGCACATGCACCTCCCAAACGCCTTGCTCGGGTTGCCAATACGCCCCGGTCACAGTATGCTCAAGTTTGACGTACTTGATCAAACCGTGCTTGTCGACGACGTCTTTGAAATATTGCCAGATCTCGGGCGATTCCGAGTAGTACTGGGACCAGTTGGGATTTCTTTCCCAGGTGAACTGATATGCAGCGGAAGGAATATCACAAGCACAGCCAGGATATCTGTTGAACGGAGTTTCCTTGTCAGCAATCTCTCTGTCTGCCTTTCCCGAAAACAAGAAACACCACGAGAGTTAGGGCGCGAGCACCATACCTATTCTCCAGCCACGTTCCTCCGACGTCCTTGTTCTTCTCGTAAAGCTGCAACTCGACATTCTCGCACCGATCCTCAATGAACTTGGAAAGCGTGATGCCTGAAGCGCCCGCGCCGATGTGGATCACTCTTATCTTGCGCGGAGTGGCATATGGCTCCTCGTGGATCCTGTAACCCCGAGCATTCTGGATCATCCATCCAAGCTCGTTGAAGACCTCGCCCGTCGCGTTGGACGAGAAGCCTTCGCCGTCTTTCGAGGGCGCCATTTTTCCGAGTGGAGCAAGTCCAAGTGATTGACGCTTTGCGAGCGACTTTACAAAAGTCGGAATCTGATATCGCGAGTGAAGGAATTACCAAACCACCCTCGGATACTTTTCGTATCTGTATCGTGCACTCAAGGGTCTACCTACGGATCACCAAAAGTGTGGATCTGGAAGATACACGCAGGGTATATAATATGCTCTTTTCAAACCAACCCAGATTAAATGGGCTTTTTTGAGTGGCACCACGCCAACCCACTCCCCATCTACGAAGGTCCAAAACTCCTTGATTTGGTCAGCAGGAGGTATGAGTTGAAGCCGTTTTTGGAGGTAGACCTCGGTTCCCAGGATTCCATCTCCAAGGGCATTGTCTGCGGGGATATTGCCACGCGCAGCGAGAGATCGGGACGACTGACTCGGGTGGACTATTACGGAATATTACTCGTGGACCACGAAACAGTAAGAGTGGCCAAGAGTGGCTAAGACAGGGTAACGCGGCACGATAAACTCCAAAGCCAATACAAGTACAAGGTGTAGGGATATTGAGGAGAGAGAAGTCCGGCTCTATCATCAATCAGGCCACTAAACTACCACCCCTCGCTCACCCTCGCTCAACAAAGTACAGCTGACCAGGAACAGTCGGGCGGGAGTCAATTTCCAAGAGATAACCGGGCGCCCTTTGAGTCTCTTCTAAACGAGGTATCATTCCACAAGTTGTGGGTTTACTTCGTTGTGCAATAGACCGAGGTTGGAATATCCATTCCCAGTTGCTACATACAAGGCTGCACAAACAAACAAACAAACATAGTTATAACCTCTTTTGGAGGGTGGATACCACAAGCCCTAGACCTGCACTTAGAATATGTCGAGCGAGGCACAATGGTATTAGGTGGGAAGAGGGTCGATCAAACCGGAGATGACTGATGCTCTGTGGTTTGCTATATATTTAATATATGCAGAAGACATCTCGATATCTCTGGTAGTGTATACATCCCCGGACTCGGCTGCGATTCTGGTAACATTGTTCAAACTCACCTCGAAATCGGCCGAGGCTAGGATATTTGCATCCGCTCCCACAGTCAAGAGCGAGGCGCGCTGAAGCTGCGTCTTTTCAAAGCCTCATCCTTCAGCACCAGGCGTATTTCTCCTTGGCTAGCCAAATGACTTCATCGTCTGGTTTCGCTGCCCATCTGAGACTGCACAAATGCTCCTTGTCGCGGGTGATGATCTCCACCTTGCCCTGCTCTTCCGTCCTCAGCCTCTGAGCCGCAGCGACTACCAGTTCTAGTGGATCCCAGACCTCCACACCTGCAGCCATCTCCCATTCATGTGCCTCTAACTGTGCTCTCAAGAGAAGTGCGGACATTGCGTGTTGGGCGTCTACTGAATCCTCCAGCGACGGCGGGACAACTGTGTGAAGGATATGTAGTTGCCACTCTGACTCCTTGGCTGCGTAAACGCGGCACCAGATCAGAGCGAGGCCGCTGGCTCGATGGATCGCACCCTTGAATTTTGGGAATCCTCTGTTTAGGACCTTGGTCTGGAACTCCTCTCGGGCAAAGTGCCATTCAAAGTGCTCGACATCCGGGCGAATTGCAACATGATTAATACCTGGGATAGCCTTGGATACCGTACGCAAGCGATGTTCAAGGTACTCAACAGTCGGAATATCCTTCAGATCCTCCATTGTCAAATCATCGACAACAGGAAATATGGAACTGGCTGATTTGTACACTGGTTGGTCCAGTGGAGGGAGATGGATGTGGTTGCTGGGGAATACTTTCCAGCCGAATCTGGCGTAAAACGTCTGGCCGATATCAGAGTATAGAACAGAGAATGGATTAGTGGCGCCAGATACACTCTGCCACGACTCCAATTTTTTCCCCAATTCCGCCATCATTCTGCCAGCGTATCCTTTTCCACGGTATTCGGGACGAGTGTAGACTGAGGCGATGCCATGGGCTTGGGTTTTCTTCAGCACGCCGTCTTTTGCCACATAGGCTTGGACCAGAAGGCTCTCGCAACAGGCAAGGATGGGCCGCGAACCATCGGGGTTGGGGGTTAGAGAGTCAGAGGTCAAAATCCATCCAGTGATCCGACCATCTCTTGTCAAATCGACTGCCTGAAGGATGACTTCGCGTTCCAGGTATTGCTCGAGGGTGAGTGGGCCTTGCCATGCTTCGGCATTAAGATACGCAGTCTGGACGTATTCGAGCGCTGAGGCAGACACAAGTTTCAGGTCCGGAGACTGAGCCGATGGTTGAGAGGCAGGGTCGATCGGGGGAGGCTTGGAAGCCAAGTCGGTCGCAGTTGGATGCACGTCTGCGGAATTCATGATGTCTCTTGTCTAACGAAGCCTGTGCTTATGAGCAAATAACGGGGAAATGATGGTGGAGGAGATCGGGTTAAGAATATTCATGCCGTCTTGTCACAAGGCGCATTTACCTACTGTGGAGAGTAAGAGGGACAAACCTTTGGGCAAGGCAACAAGAGCCGCACATGTAGAGTCATTAAATTCGTAATTCGTAAGAGTGTGAGTGAGTCTTTGCCAGAAAAATGCGTTCATAGTGTGTTGGAAGAGGGGCTGAGGGGCAGCAGGGGCAGGCAAACTGCGCTTCTTCGTCGAGGGATTAACCGAGATAGACCCGCTCATCTCAACTCAAACCCGTTGATCAACATGAAACGTCGAAAAGGAGATGGAAAATGGGGCAGGCGATGCAACTGCAGCCTCGTCACCAGCTTCACCGTCAACCTCGTAGCCTCGTGTACATATCTCTCGCTTTGTTCGAAATCACACTCCAAGTCTGCAGGACAGAATGATTGGGTGCAGAAGTGAAACTAACTGGACAGGACGCAGGGTCTCTACTGCCGCCTCTCCTCAGCGCTCTCGCCCTTCCACTCCCTTCACTCCTTGCGCGCCCTGGTCAGTGCACCTCGTTTGCTATTACCTCATGCAATCGATGCTCTTGACGCCCTCCAATGGTGCCGCCCTCTTGTTCCCATGGGTTCCAGTTCGCTGAGGAGCTGGTACCCGTCCTCCATCCAATCCAGTCCTGCCAACACCTGGTGGGTGCCGTGGATCGCACACTATCCAGTTCGACCGCACCTCATCGCGTAACTTGACTATATTGGATCTGCACAGGAACCAAATAAACAGACAAGGCTGTTCAGCTTAGATTGTCCACTTCACGCATTCTGCTGTCTTTCTGCCGCGACTCAATTTTTTCTTGTTAATTCTCCTCTTAGCTTCCACTCTTTCACCCTCGTCGAATTCCACTTCTCCTGTCTGGTCCGACTTTTAGATTTCACACACATTTCATCACTGCGCCTGGCTCCCCTGTAGCCGGAGATACTTGAAGTAGCGCAGGCCGCAGCAGTATCCTATCTCATTCGCATCCACACTCACGAGGCCGGCTTCAGACCTCTCTGTGAATTCGAGTCATGCTGGCGCTGCCTCCTGCGGGACGCTAGAGGAGGTCATTTCAACCTAACAACCTTCACCGATTCCAGACTTGCAAACATCCAAAGGCTCTCTGCATGAACGGATCTCCCTCACACGACCCTTTTGAAGCGCCCGTCAACATGTCCTATCAGCCTATGACCCCTCGGTAAGCAGCCGTCTTTGGCCTCCACACCACTGCGCCAGTCTTGTTCCCCCAACCGCCTTGTGTCCTCTTTGTACCAGGCGTTGAGGCGGCTTATTCGCGACAGACTTCACACTGTCAAATAGCTTCTGTCATGCAAAGTCTGAATACATGTTCATTATCCTGTATGCTAATGATCTATTTACTAGGCTGGAGGACATCCCCACTGACCGTCGAGATTTGGCTCACACTATGACATACCGGTCTCCCCCACGTCTCTCGCGAATGGCAGACCGTAACAAAGACACCATTATCGAAGTCTCTGATGATGACTCTGATGCTGCTCCACCCCGTCAGTTGCGGAAATCCCTTCATCGATACCCAGTCAACAAAGCTTTGTCAACCACTTCAGCTAGTGATGCCGATGTCTCCGAGCTGGAATCTGCAGTAAAGGGCCGTCTAACTCATGAACCCCGAGCCCTCAAGAGAACATGGACTCCCAGCACCTCCCTAGACGACTCACCACAAATTGCGTCTGGAGATCGTGGAAAACGTCGTGTCAACGCACCCTCTGATGCCATGATCTCGATGCGCCGCAATGAAGCTGGTTCTGGTCTGCAACTCTGGCATCACAGACACAAACGATATGTTACCGTGTCCAAACAACCAACTGTCAGTGCCAAAAATGGCACCCAACACTACGCAAAGTCCGAGAAGAAGGCAGCGCCACAGCCACCGTACTACGTCGATGGTCGGCTCGACGTCAAGATGTATCGAGGGCCAGGTTACGAGCGCTTCCCGGTAGTGCTTGGCACTGTTGACGGACACCAAGAGCTGTGTGATAGCTGGGACGCAGAACAGGTTCTCAAGCTGGAGAGAAAGGCGTTCAAGTTGCGGCAAGCAATTCGAACCCCTTACATTATCCATGGCTCCGATTCTGAGACAAGCAATGACGAGATAGAGGAAGTTCAGGGGGAGAAGACATTCGAAAAGAGGTGTCTTGCTTGTGTTATCGAAGTCTTTCCAGACATTGAACGCACCTTTGTCGAAAAGAAGATTCAAGATGCACCCCCGCAGCCCCAATATTTCGACGAACATGATCAGGAGATGATCGATACCGGCGCCCCGCCCCTTGCCCAAAGAATCATTGCCGACATCCTAGAGATGCAGGCATATCCGAAGCAACGTCCTGCTCACTCAAAGACCACCTGCAAAGGGGCTGCGAACGATGGCACTGGCATTACCATCACCTGGGACAGAGGCCTCCCAAAGGACAAAATGTACATAAAAGATGCCATCATTCTACTCGCGAGGCACTTTGTGAATGTCCCTACCCACTACATCGCCAAAGTGGTAGAAGACAAAAAATCCATCTTCGACTCCTATGTCACCATCCAGGGACAAGAGGATCGATATTACTCGCTCACACCCAGACCATACAAACGTTATGTTAAGCCAAGAACTGAGGTGGAGCAGACATACCAGCTGGCAATAGGGGACCGCCGCATCCCAGCAGAATACGCCAATAGAGTCAATGAGTTGCAGGCGGCGAAGCAGTTCTCAGCTCGCGAGGCAATCAAGGAGGCTGTCAAGACGGCCAAGGAGGAAGCTGAAGCTTTGAATTTGGCAGAACATGTCAAGACTGGGGCAGTCATGGAATGCCAGTGCTGCTTCGACTCAGAGACTCCTCTCAACCGCATTGTCTCTTGTATGGCAGATGTCCCGCATTTCTTCTGCTTCACCTGTGTCGAAGGCCTAGCCGACAATCAGGTTGGCATGTTAAAGTATGAGATGCGCTGCATGGATGGTGATGGCTGCACGGCGGAGCTTTCTCACGAGGACGTTGGAAGAGCAGTCCCGATCACCACATTTGATCGTCTTGAACTCAACAAGCAACAAGCCGACATCATGGCTGCCAACATTGAAGGCCTAGAGCAGTGTCCACACTGTGAATACAAGGCAATTTGCCTGGATGTGGGACAGGAGCCCATCTTCCTTTGCCAGAATCCAGAGTGTTCTCGTGCAACCTGCAGGAAATGCGGGAAGGACAGCCATATTCCCAAATCTTGCGAAGAGAATTCTCTCGACAAGACCTTGTCTGCACGCCATCTGGTGGAAGAGGCCCGCTCGGAAGCCATTATTCGAACATGTCCCAAATGCAAAGCCAAAATTCTCAAGGACTTTGGATGCAACAAAATGGTTTGCACCAGATGCGGCTGTCGGATGTGTTATGTTTGCAATGCAGACATAACACATCTTGGAAGCAATGCCTATTCCCATTTTGGCAACAAATGTGTACTGTATGATGAGCTGGGTATCAATCGACACGAAAGTGAAGCGAATGCGGCAGAAAAAGGTGCCATCACCAAGGCCAAAGAGATTGATGCCGAGCTTGATGAAACCAAGTTGCGCATCGACACTGATAAACCTGCGAACCGACGACCTTCAGCCTTGCTAAATCACCCTGCCGCCGAGGTCTTCCTTCGTGATCTGAATAATCGAGCTGCTCGTCTGAATAATCGTCAAGCATACCTTCACAACTTGCAAACTCGTGTCGATCGTTTGCAAGCTCTGCGCCCAGATCGAGAACTCGAGGATATTCTGGCAGGAGTCCATCGATTGGACCGCGCTCGCAGACACGCGGAGAGACCACAACCAAATGATTCAAGAGAGCATCTAACTCAGTTGATGGAGCTCTACCAGCGAGCACGCCTGAATATTATTCAGCATCCACCTCGTTTGGGGGAACAACTACAGCAGCCACCGCCACCGCTGGGTGGCCACGCACTCGCGCATGGTCAATATCAAGCGCCGCTCACTGCGCCGTTCAACCCAGCTGTCAACCCACCGACTCTTATTCCTCCCATTCCCAATAGGCCGGTTCCTGCAGCAGCAGCATTTGGGGACCTCGCGATGGCGAGCAGCAACATCCCTAATGTAATAATTGAGGACCGCCATTTTGGCAATTCAAACCTTGACTTCAACTTTGCTAGAGCACAAGCGACCTTGCCAAACCCAACTGGTCTTGTTCCAGTGACCCGTATGGCCCAAGAGCATCGACAGGTAAATCAACCACTTCGCCGGGCAAATAATCTGTCGTACGGTCAATACCGTGAAGCCCCGTATGCTAGCCGCACAGCTGGCACAAGCATGGGATCGAACAATGTCCGCGGCCCGGCTGGTGCTGCAATGCCTACGTACAGCCTTCAATACGACCACCTTCCTTTGCCATTCCCTTAGCCGCTCGCAACGCTGCCAGTGGTATTGCCAACGAAGGAGTGCGGGATGTGCCCCGCTCTTGACCTTCGAATTGGAAGTACACAACTTCATTTTGGTGGACTCTGGCGTGCGACTGAGTGATCTCTGCTCGATCTGGCAGTATCAAGCCGACATCAATAACACATTTGGGTAGCGCGAACCGAGCTTTCCGTATTAGTACTGGCCCTCTCAGAAAGTAGAGGCAAACCGCATCACGAATACCAACTCCGATGACACGAGGGTCGTCGACAGATATGCAAACTTGCTGGCAGACGGGAGGCTGCTTAGACATTGGCACATATGTGCCTTACACATGAGCTGAAAGACGAGTGGGTCTGATGTTCTAAAGGGTCTCGTTGCAGTTCTTTAGTCTGAGATCGACGACTGAATTGGACTTTGGGTCACATCTGCTAAGGTCGGGCTTGGTTTTATGTTCTGCTTGCTTGGACAGGACACGAGCCTCCTTGGATCACTGCTATGGACATACAGGTCTGAATGATGTGGTTTGGTCTAGTGGGAATGGTCTTGAGGTATCATGGATATCGGAATCAAAAGTGAGCTGTGATGGCGCAGGAAGAGCTCTAGATGTATGCGTTAGCCTGGGAGACAGAAGGACTATTTGCAGACCTGCTCACTCTGATTCATTGTGAGTAGAACATTAGCTAGTATCTCAGCACTGGACTGAGGTAACAGACCATTCCAAGTAATACCGAATATGGACAGTAAAGAACCAAATTGGGTAAATTTGTCACCTGACTTCGCGCATCAGTTAAATTGCGCGTACGAGTTGTGCATACGTCATGATTGGCCAGATTGAGTCTGCACACTTTTGCTCATTGTCCATTGTCCCCAAAGTGCAAAGTAGTCGAAGCTGCCATGATATTGTCTGCGTTCTGATCCTCTAACCATCCATCTGGTCGGCCCATAAGTCCCGAGACCTGATCCATTATCTCATGGCCAAGCTGCAGGCAGCCACTGTTTCTCGCATCCCCGTCAATCGCAAGCGGAAACGCTTTCCCAAAGACCAGGAGTCAACACCGACTGAGTCTGACCTCGTTTCCTCCGTCGCGGCCACCACAAGAGTCCCCACCAAGACTCATGATGGAGGTTCCAAACCTAGAAGAACGAAAGGCACATCGAAACCTGCCCTGAGCCGAACTAGTTCGTCCTCGAGTCTGGTAGAGTCAGACGTACCTTGGCCGGACCACTTCAAGTATCTATCCCAGTTGCACCGCGCCCTGAATGTCGTATACACATTTTGCTGCACCAGGAAGCATTTCGCCACGACATGGGACAACATCAAGAGTGCGGTGGAAGGACACATCAAAAAGCCGTTGGTCGAGGACGACGTGGCGCAGGTCAAGGCGTTATTGCCGCGGGCGATCAACTTTGCCTATGTCGATGAAGAACACCTTATGGTAACACTTATGGGCGAAGAAGATGGCGTCAGAGGTGGCAGAGCCGACCATTTTCGGTCTCTGGAAGAGGATGAGAGCGCACCCAGAGACAAATCGGAGCCATCCAAAGAACTGCTTCTGTTCGAGTTTGTGGATGGCGACCTGAAAAGACAGGTTGTCGACCCCAAGACGGGGCAACCCACCAAAGCGATCCAGAAACTACGCAATGAAGATCTCAAAATGCCTGTGTTTAGTCAGAAATCGATGCTCAATCTCATCGAAAAGCGCAATGCCAAATTCACTTCAGCCATAAACACATTCCTCAACCAATGTGCCGAGGAGCAAACAGACCCGGTGGGAAAAATACTGGACCTTAAACAGCAGTATTTACCCTACCCCTCAACCAGTCGTCCTGCAACACCGGGCCCAGATAATCGACTGCAAAAAGCGATCCCCAAGGAACGAAAGTCAATAACGGACATTGTCAAAGAGATTAGCGAGCTCGAGTGGTATACTGGACAGATTGTGCCCGACGGACATCGTGTATTCGATCCTCAGCCGGCCATATATGGTGACCTCAATTTTCAGCTGTCCCAGAATCTGGTGAATGCGCTGTATAACAGCAGGGGGATAACTCAGTTGTACTCGCATCAAGCCGAGGCCATCAATAACCTGCATGATGGTCATCATGTAATCGTGTCTACCTCAACCAGCTCAGGCAAATCGCTGATCTATCAGATACCAATGCTTCACGAACTCGAGAAGGATCCCCAAAGTCGCGGGCTCTATATTTTCCCCACCAAGGCTCTCGCCCAGGACCAGCGTAGAAGCATGAAAGAGCTCTTGAAGTACATCCCGGGCTTGGAAGACGTCGTTGTCGAGACATTTGATGGCGACACGCCCATGCGAGCACGCAACCAAATCCGAGATGAAGGTCGTATTATTTTCACGAACCCAGACATGTTACACATTACTATTCTACCCCAGGAGAGCGGATGGCGAGAATTCCTTCGGAATCTCAAATTCGTGGTCGTGGACGAGTTGCATGTGTATAACGGTTTGTTTGGTGCTCATGTGGCCTTTATCATGCGTCGACTGCGGCGCATATGTGCCGCTGTGGGAAACCGCAAGGTCAAGTTTATTTCATGCTCCGCAACAGTGGCCAATCCAGAAGAGCATATGAAGACCATATTTGGCGTGGAAAATGTCAAGCTAACGGATTTTGATGGTTCTCCGTCTGGCCGGAAGGAGTTTATTTGTTGGAATACACCATACAAAGATCCAGGCGATCCCTCATCAGGTCGTGGTGATGCTTTTGCAGAGACAGCGAGGTTAATATGCCAACTTATTTTGCGAGGGGTTCGAACCATTGCCTTTTGTCGCGTACGAAAGCAATGCGAAGTCCTGCTAGCGGCGGTCAAGACGGAATTCACAAACCTCGAGAGACCAGAATGTTCTGCTTTGGTCATGGGCTATCGTGGTGGATATTCGGCTCAAGACCGTCGGCAAATAGAGTCAGAGATGTTTGGTGGCAAGCTCATGGGTATCATTGCCACCACGGCCCTGGAGCTGGGCGTGGATATTGGATCCCTTGATGCCGTGGTTACGATGGGGTTCCCATATACGATCGCCAATCTGAGACAACAGAGCGGCCGTGCAGGTCGACGGAACAGAGACTCGCTTTCTGTTCTGGTCGGTGACTGCTTTGCTGTCGATCAACACTACATGCAGAATCCCGACGAGATCTTCACCAAGCCTAATTGTGAGCTCCAGGTCGACCTGCAAAACGAACTTGTGGTGGAAGGGCATATTCAGTGCGCTGCTTTCGAGATGCCCATCAAGGCAGACGAAGATGAGAAGTTCCTAGGCAAGATGTTGCCAGAGATATGCACAGAACGGTTGTCGTATGACCCTCTGGGATTCTATCACTGCAACGAGAGATTTCGACCTCTGCCTTCTAGGTGTGTCCCCATCAGAGATACCGAGGACAATCACTTTGCTGTGGTTGATATCACACATGGTCGTAATGTGGTCCTGGAAGAAGTCGAGGCTTCAAGAGCCTTCTTCACGCTGTACGATGGGGGAATATTCTTGCACCAAGGTCGGACATATATCGTGAAAGAGTTCTCACCTGAGCGCAAGATTGCCCGGGTTCAACTCGTCAAGGTGGACTGGACCACGCAGCAAAGAGACTACACAGACGTGGATCCAATCGAAACCGAGCAGGTCCGTCGGGTGTCGGCCAACTCTCTCACCAAAGCATATTTCGGCCGCATCAAGGTCCACGCCGTGGTATTTGGGTTTTTCAAAGTCGACCAGAAGGGTCGGATTCTCGACGCAGTGGCTGTGGACAACCCACCGATTATCATCCACTCCAAAGGTCTATGGTTGGATATCCCCAAGTCGGCGATGCAGATCCTCAAGGACAAACGCTTGAATCTTGCGGCAGGGATCCACGCGGCCGAGCATGCATTGATGTCCCTGATGCCACAATTTGTGGTCAGCATGCCCGGCGATGTGCGAACCGAATGCAAGAACGCGCTGAAGGAATTCGCAAAGAAGGAGACTCAGCGGAAGAGACCTGCACGGTTGACGTTTTACGACGCAAAGGGCGGACCCGCGGGCTCGGGGATCGCAGCGAAAGCATTCGAGTTTATCGACATCCTTCTCGAACGTGCCGTCGCGCGGGTCTCGGCGTGCCACTGCCTCGAGGGCTGCACGGAATGCATCTGCGACGAGAGGTGCAAGGAGAAGAACATGGTCATGAGCAAGGCCGGCGCCGAAGTCATTCTCAAGTCTCTCCTAGGTATGGAAATCGACGTCGACGCCCTCCCCGAGGGCGAAGAGGAGCGCGTTCCTGCCGGGGTCGAGACCGTCGTGTTTGCCACCGAAGTCATGGGCCGGGATGGACGGAGAGTGCCCGAGAAGGACTTTGTCAAGAAGGAAAAGAGTGATGACGATGCCATCATCATTAAGGATGAGCCTGGGGACTGAGGACTGAGGACTGATTGTCGTGTCCATGGAGGCTGGCCTTTTACATGCTTTTCATGTATAGATACCTACCGTCTGCCTACCGTCTGCATGTCTGTATGCCTGTATGTATATACGAACGAGGAATGAATGACGTGACAAAGATCTACAACATACAACCTACAACCAACAGGAGGCATGTATGGATGTAAGTATTTTGTGAGCGAATCAATTGAGCACAACAGAAAAGAGGACTCTATGATTTTCCAATCTGGCTTTTTCTTCTTCGTTCAAGAGAGTTTGCGGATTCACATCGACATCGATTGTAAGAGTCAACCATCGACCAGCCATGCAGCCATGTAGTGTAGATGATCTAATCTATCCATCGAGTTCATTCTACCATCTACCGATCTACCACGGATGAACAGAGGAATGGATCTTAATCTCTTTTTTTCGTGAGTATCATTCATCCAACCCCCTCGTCGCGTGGCGGACAAACGCCTCGGCCTCCCTCCTCACACTGGCGATATTGATCGCGCCGGTGCCGTACGCGCGCGCCACCGCGGCCTGGACCTCCTCGTCCTCGTAGAGAGTGTCGTCGTCGTCGTCACCACCAGCACCACCGACACCCGTGCCTCCGCCCTCACGCTCGCGCTCGACGGCGACCACGGCGCGCCAATATGCGTCGTCGCGGTCCTTGAGGGCCGGGTTGCGCACCACGGCGTTACGTGCGATCGAGTACGCGCGCAGATTCGTCGCGGCCATCTGCAGCACCAGGTTGGCTTGCGTGAGGAGCTCATCGGTGCGGCGGCGCGCGAGTTCCGCGTCCGCTGAACCAGGCCCACCTGCTGATGTGGAGGGGAAGAGGTAGAACCGCCCCGTCGCCGACGCGTAGATGCACAGCGCCACCGCGATGTCGAACGCGCACAGGCCGAGGTACCGCGCCGTGGTGCCGAGCCAGAACGTCCCCGCGGGGGCGACGGTGCTGATCGCCACGGGCGGCGCGTATGTCGCGGTCAAAAACACGTCGGCGCCCGCGAGGACGAGCGCGCCAAAGACGGCGGCGCGGCGCCACGTCGACGCTTCGTACCCGCCCACGGTCTCCGAGGTCGCGAGGCCCAGGCACAGAACGTGGAAGAGGTGCGGGAGCACCGTGTTGGTCGGGAGGTGGTACAGCAGGTACGAGATTTGGTCGTCGGGGTGGCAGAACAGGCAGTCGCGCAGGGTCGAGGGCCCGAAGCGGAGGTAGAGTTGGCGAAGGCTGTCACAGACGTTGTCGTTAGAATTCATATCATGCACCATCAATCCGTCCGTCATTCTTATTCGCCGTGGCAATCTGGATCGAGTGGCGGGAGAGACGGAGGTGATGACGATTTTCTTTGTCGTTCCCATGATTTGTTCCGCGAAATCGGGAGGACAGGGAAAAAACTTACGCTGGTGAAGTCAACTTTGCCCTCAACGCCTCGTCCGCGGCCGAGAGGGCCCCGTTCTCGCGCAACATGGCCAGCCGCTCAAACAGCACGTCCGTCGGCACCGACAGCCGCGACTGCGTGGCCACAAAGACGTTGTGGTCGGCGATATCGCCTCTCAGCGGCCACGACGCGTACAGAAAGACGCATATCGACACGAACAGCGCATTCAGCCCACGGCTGGTCCGCTTCGGCAGGGGACGAGGCGGCGGTCTGGTGCGGTAGGCGGTCTTGAATGCGGCGTAGTAGTTGATGGCGCGTGGGAGGATGAATGTGAACAGGAGAGGCCAGAATGGCTTTACGCTGTTTTCCTCAGGCAAAAACCACCAGTGGATATGTTAGTCAATCTGGACTTTTATTCCTTCTCGCGGGCGGTGAGGTGACGAAAAACCCCTTTCGAGAGTATGGAAAGGATCAGGGACAGAGGAATGAAGGGGGTGTATGTGAGTTTGTAAGAGTGGGAGGCTTACCTGCTCCACAGCGTCATGGCTCTGAAGGCGGACAGTCGAGACTCATGCTATGAGTAAAGGGATTGTGTATAGACAAGAGTACAAGTGTGTCTCAGTTTCTATTGACTAGGCAGCCAGTGCGTGGCAAGGCGTGGGTATCTACGTCTGTTAGTATGTAGGGGTAATATTGACGTTTGAGACTAGCAGTGTCGAGAATATATACGGAACAACAATGCTCCGAAATACGACAAGGCTGGTACTTGACTCGCTGGTAAGGCTGGATCGTAGCGCCATAGCCTTATAGTCGTGACTAAGCATTTTTCCACACAGATCACAACTGCAATAGACACATACTCCTCAAATCCAGTCCAATCCCAGAGGGCGGGCGACGGTCGCTTTGATCTGGTTGTAACTGAAGCCATTATCTAAGCCACTCCGAGTCACGCTGAGCGCCACGAAGCGTTCCCTGAGCATTTACTGAACAACAGGAGACTGTAAACCTTCAGACTAAATCAATCTCCATGGTTTCAATCGAAATGAAACAAGCGCGCATCAGAGTTTCGGCATCAGGTATTTGGACTCTGTTAGATGAACCTCCTTCTCGTGCCATTACCTCCAAATGCCCTAGACGGTAAAATTGCGTTTTTCCCGGGTCGACAGGTTTGACGTGGATGAAAAGCCATGTGTGGTCTTCTTCCACTGACGCCAGCAGGATATAGTTTGGCTCCTGTTCCGTGACTGCACTGGACGAGGCGTTGTCCGCAAAGTACCTTCCAGTCAAGGGGAAGTTGGGGTCGTTGAATTTGTCGCTGAAGCCTTTGAAGACGGAGCATGGAAGTCTCAGTGTGGTCGGGAGGAGTTGTGATGGCTCAAGCAACAATACCGGGTGTACCTTTATACCGTCGGCAGCTTCCCGTGGCATCTTAACCGGATTTATGCTGTGTGCCCAAGACCAAGATGGTACAGAATCCAGAGGACTTTGTCTTTGCTTGTCTGCAGGGGCGACGTACCATCCCAAATCCCATGGAAGACCGTCTAGAAAATGCCCAAATCGTGGTTCCGGCTTACCACAGATCCTCGATACCTGATTACCAAGTCCGATGAGCGCAGGTATTCTATCAGAATCCTTTGTCAAACCCAAGTTGGAGTGAATTTCAACCAGGGCACGCCACCAGTTTCGGATATTCCGCTCTCTTTTGGCACTTCCGCCGCTCAAAGCGCGGTGATACGCGATCTTGAAAGGCATATTTGCATTCTGATGGCTGGGATCGTCCAATGCTATTAATTCTCTCCAAGCTTGTACGTCATGAGAAAAGTTGAAGGCTGGTCCGGTTCTCGTGACGTCCAGGTCCGTAGCCATACTAGGGACTTGGTGAAACCCACATTCACAATTCGAACTCTCGAGGCACTCCCACATGATTTCTAGTGGCGTAAAGAGGACAAATCGCCGAGATAAGAGTCTCTCTTGCAGAACCCAGCCTCGAGTGAGGCAAGTCCAACGAAAATGTAGGCGCTTTGGACGTAAGGGATCGTACAGACGGACAGTTCAAGTCGGGGTGTGTTAAGGCCTCTCTCACGTATATTCTGGTTTTGTCGTGTTGGATGCCAGAGACGCAAAACCCCTTGTGGGTTGGATCACCTACCGAGAAGCATGCATTTTGCCCAGTAGCCGCCGCTACCGTCAGAATGGCTCCTTCATAGACCGAGCCCATCAATTTTGACTCTTTCTCCCAATCCTCGACACTATCCTGAATGATGCAGAGGCTGTCGATCCAGATATATCGGATCGGCATCGGGTCAGCATATTCGGTCCTATGCCAAGTTGAAAACTGCCTGGCAAACGTGATGGCGTCCTGAAAAGTCGGCGTTATCCAAGTCCAAGGAATATTTTCTTTGAGAGAGCTTATATTGCGCAGGGTACATCGTGGCATGTGATCTGTATCAATCCATCGGTGGCTGAGACAGAGATAATGCCCTCGAGCTCCATTGCTTTCCACCAATGCTAGCTGATCTGCCTTTGTGATATCGATCACTCGAGTGGGCAACAAAGGTGCGTCGGCCCCATCCCCACAGGCTGGATGATCGGCATTGCATGTTTTGAACCATGAGAAGACCCTCGAGAATGCTTCTGGAGAACCAGTGTTTGCGGAAATTTGAGGAAGAAAGGCAAGTCATCATCATGGCCGGGTCGGGAAGGGCTAGACAAGCACTGGAGCCAAGACAGTCTCTGGCGTGCTGCAGGCATCTTGAAGATTTCCAGCTTGATATGTACCGCCTCAGACAGTGTGGTTTGGATATATGCATGAATGTATGCACCGCGGGCATTGTGTTCACGGTTGAACATGACATTTCTGGCTACAGTAATGCCTTTTTTGTCTCGTAAGAAGCCGAGGAAAGCCATGAAAAAGCATAATGTTCGACAGCCGTAGCAGATGTCTTGCTGGCGCGGCTCAGTCAGGCGTGTGTCGGGTTTATGCTGTTCCCAATCACTATCATCAAGTCTCCCAAGACATCCACTTATATTGTAACTGAGATACGGAAAGTAAGAACGGCAAATCTCACAGTCATCCTGGGTATAGACCCAGACCCGCGGACGAAGCCCCAGGAGCCGATAGAGTGCCTCAAGATGTCCCGATACAAATCTGGGTGTATATGCCTGTTCTTTGGGCGACGAGCTTTTCCTGTTGATTTGTCTGAGACGGCTCAGACCCGTCGACTCGGTGGTCGAGAAAGGCATCGTTCCGAAGAGACCACTTGGTAGAAGGGTGTGTCGCCGCACACATGTCGATCAACTCGAGGCTGAGCTGCCTGAGACGAATGCTGGAATCTGTGATATCTGGGGCCTTGGCAGGGAAACAGTCCCAGTCACATGATGATTAGTTGCATGTGCCCAAATGCACCTTTTTGTGGAATTCTCTCAAGATAGCAAAAGCCTTACCCCGTATCTCTCTGCCTTTCTGTTCCGGTGTGTTGAAGAGCGAACTCGAACTGGGTCCATGCATGAATACCTCACAATAAATCACGTCTTGGAATTGGTATATGCCAACATGCGGTTAGATATGTAGAGAGCATGGAGAATCCATCAAGTGTTTCTTTGCCTGGTTTGATAATTGACCCTGCACAAGATGAGGGAGTGCTGCCCAGCTGTACAGCCAACTTCAGATTCCAAACACTCTTCGCTACCTGCGCCTCACACAAACTCCTCGCTAAGCCTTTCAAGTTCGTCAAGGGTGTGCCAAAGAGCTCTTGCAGTCTTCTCGGGTAGCAAATTGCAGTAGCACCACCCTTCTTCAGGCCGTGTCATTTATTCTTTGCGCTGCCTGACCCCTCTTCGGTCTTTTTAGCTGCCGCTGTCAGACTGGTCAGTCGGTTGTCTCGTGTATATAGGCTGGAAAGTCGCTGTGTGCCCACCTTTTGCTTGTTTTTCTCGCATAATGGCTGCTTGGGCTTCTTTCGTCCGCTGAAACTCGGTGCCGGACTGTGTATTTTTCTTTTTCTGTAATCGGATACCCGTTAGCCCAACTTCACACAGCTCCGCGGTCTTGATTCGACAATGCAGGGCGCAAATCTGCAGGTGTGTCAATTCGCACCTGTCCAGACTGTTCCTTGATGTTCTTCTCGCGAGCCTTTTCTCTTTGGTTTCCTCGAGTCATGGCTGTGATGGGTGAGACAGAGGCAACTCTTTGCTCTAAGGTGGACTTGGATACAAGAGACGGTGCAGTTGCGTTGTCGCTAAGTAGCTGCGAGCAGTATGAGGGTGAAGGAGTGGGAGCGCAAGAGGGAGGGCAAAATTAGTTGGTGAAGACCGCAAGTCTGAGTGAGATGGGCCTCGCACAGAGCCGCAGTTTCTCGGAAAAAAGAAATCGCGCACCGACTCGGCCTCATCCGCAGCCAGCCCTACACCAGAGACACCTTTGTTTCGCCCTCCCACCTCCACATACTTCACTTACACGACAATCTCCAGTCTCTTTGTCAGTAAATTGTTATTCTGATCGCCGACAGACTGCTTCTCCCAAGATCTCATACAAGGTTGTTGCATACCTGAGATGCACTTGGCGTCAAGGGTCCCCAAAATGGAAACGCGCCCTCAAGTGCGTTTCAGGTTTGGCCAACCCTGAATCGTCGTTCAACCTCAGCCACTCTTTCTCCTCGTCTCTCCCCAGCCTGAGGAAGACATGGCATCTGCAACAGCTGCATGATTTTGGACCGAATTGGGCATCACTTGACTCGATCTCTCGGGATAACGCCACAGGTGGGAGCGTCTTCGTTTCTGAAACCGAGTTTGAAGACTTCTCCGACGGCACACCAACTTGACCAATGGACACGTCCTTCCCGTGAGTGATGCGAACCAGATACTACAGCTTCATCTCGCGCTCGCGCTTATGACGGTGGTGACTCTGAGACCCTATTTCTCTCCAGACCAGATCAATGGTAAAAAGATGGAAAGAGACCGCTGAAGGATAATTCATTTCTGCCGCTCCCTCCTCGAGTGTTGGCCACTATTCCTCTTTTCTCATGTACATTCACTTCTATTGATGGTCTGGCTGTTCAATAGCCTGCTGTCATCCTATTGTTCTATTCATCAAAGCGTTCGAGCCTGTTAATTGAGCCTACAAATATCTTTTCTTACACAAACCCTGAACATTTTCATGACACCCTGACCTGGAAATAATCATCATCTCCCAAAATCTACACGACAGGTATTCATTCGACTTAATCCAAAAGCAAACTGCAACATGCGCTTCTTCGGCAGAACCCTGGCCGGCGCTGGCTACATTGTGCTCAACGTCATCCGAGCGATGAACATAACTGCTCTTTTGGCCGTCATCGCGGCAAGTTCGGTCATGCTGGTCAAGACCTTTATTGTGTCCAAGTTTTTCTTTTTCGATGCCTGCGAGCACGTTCTCCGAGTCGTCATGAGTGGTAAGTTCCCAGACTGTGATGCGGTGGCTGGGATGCGGTGCTAAGATGTGTCAGGATTCCTCATCCTCACCGAACTCTCTCTTTTCAAGTCATTCTTTTCCAAGAATTGGCCTCTCTTCAGCGCCCGGTCGAGTTTTGTGATGCTCGGGCTTGCAATGATCTTCCTGGGGAACAGTCTTCTCGGAAATCTCAACAAACACGCCACCAGTCAGGAAAGCCTGGGTCTTCCATTCTGGCGGCTGGTGATAGCAGCTGGAATCATTGTGTTTGTGATGGGCTTCATCAACCTCTTTGCAGTAAGCAGATGGGCATCGAAAATCAGAGATAGACGCTGACCCAAACTTGCAGAGCTATATTTTCAGAGACACCAAGGCGCATCTCACAGCGCGACAAGTCCGATCCCACGGCGCGGTCGCATCACACAAAGCAGACGTCGAAGCTTCTACTCCAAAACCGCCGAGCCGCAAAAGTCATTACCGATCGTTCTTCCTAGGCAAGCGAGACTCATTACCCTCGTATTATTCTCGTAAGAACACGGATCGTGCCAACATGGCCGAGACACCCAAGATGCACCTAGCCATTTCGAGTCCTTTTCCACAAGATCAGCCTCTAGTCCGCAGTGCGCAGAGCCCTGGTGGGGCCAGCTCCAAGTACAGCCAAAGTCCCAAGAGTGAGCGATATGCCATGAGTCCTGAACTCAACCGGCCAGATTTGGCCCATCACCCTGCCATGACACAAGGCCATGCTATCTGAAGTGTGGACAAAAAACAGGAAGGGAAACATATCTGAGGGTTAGTGAGGGAAACGATGATGATATGGTTTGATCTCCATGGCATCTACACACATGAGTACTTCAGTCAGTGGTGACCAGGAGCCTCACATGGACCAAGAATGGGAGCCGTGGATGTTTTGCTTTTCTTGAATCTTGTAACAGATACCCAGACCCAGATGGCAAGAAATAATCAGACAGTGATGAGTTATGAGCAGCAATCAATCGACCCCTGAACAGTGCTTGATATCTGTCTCATGCAGCGGTGCTCAGTCCGCAGTGTTTATTTTTGAAGGCTTGATTCCAAGAGGCAGAGGATTCACACCCCAGCCAGTCAGACGGAGAGCGACGCCGTGACACCGTTCGGTTATACCAGTCGGGGAAGAGGGACGCACGAGTCTAGGGTCTCGACCAGCCTATCTGTTTTGACATGTGTGTTGTTTCCGACTGTATCTCTTGCTACAATTTGCCACTGTCGCTCTGGGCCTTTTGTCCCATCTCCCTTGTCCATCCCTCGTCCACCCATCTCATCCTATCCCACCTTTTCTCCTTGTACCTCTGTCCCTCTCTGTGTACCTATCTCGCTGTGTACTCCGTCATCACTCTATGGATTCGTATCCTACGGGTATTGATATGCCTTGTCGACTTTTCTCTACTTGTTCTTGTCCCTGTAGCTGTACTTTTACTCGTGGGGATCCCATATGTACCCCTCCTGGATGTAATATGTCTATGTAGGGTACATGGACTTGTACTTGTACTAGGCTACGTCTCACTTCGACCCTTTGGAATCCCTTTTCCAACCCCCACTCCCTTTTTCCGGTCTACCTTGTTGCCTTGCGTGCTCGCGTTAGGAGAGAAGACAAGCCACGAAACGCACGCTACGCTACGCGAACCAAAGCCCAACCATCCACCCCCCCTGACGCCTGACGCCTCCCCTCCCTCCTCCTCTTGACGCCCCCATGCCATGCACACCAAGGTACTTACCGAGTACCTTGTCCTCTAACTCGTCCGTGGCTCATGTACCATCTGTGCCTTACCTCGATCAGGACATCTGGATACCCAGCAAGGCAAGTCGCAGGTCGATTTCGTGGACCAGCAATTGCGAAAATCGCCACTCGGGTGGGGTTGTTGTGGTTGTAAGCTTTTGAAAGCCACCACCCCCATCACCCTACCTACATCGGTACAGGTAAGTACTCGGTACTTAGCCGTGCTTGCAAGGCTTGCGGCCCGGCGGATATATTTTCCTTGCGAGCGTGCTCGTGTACATACATACTTGTCCTTGTACTTGGGGAGTTGTAGTTGTAGATGTAGAGTCACCTAGCAAACCAGCAAGCCAGCCAGTGGTCATTCTAGTGAATGGATCGAGGTTCTACGAGATGCCTGCTCGAGCGGAGCGTGGAACACAGCCGCTGGAGTACTTGTACTTGTCCTTGTGCTTGTACCGAGTACTCGTAAAGTAAGGCTGAGCTAGAGAGGAGCAGCTGAGCTTTCAGCTCTCAGCTTTTCCCCCCTCCCCTCCCTCCTCTTCTCTCTAGCTATCTACCTACCTACCTACCAGATCTCGTAACCCAACTCGTACTTCCTTGTCCTTAGTCCTTCCCGTGTCCCTCTCCTTTTCCTTCCTCTTGTCCTTCTGCTTGTGCATCTACTCTTATCTCTCCTGCCGCTTCCCGCTTGCCATTCGGCATTCCCTATCCAGTCGTCAGCCACCAACCACCAGCCGCCGCCGGACCGCCGCCCATCCGTTTGTCTTGCCCCTCATAGCCGATACCACCACCGCCGCCGCCGCCATAACTTGTCCAGAGGGTTGAACTGTCAACCAGACTGCCACGGTGAGAGAGCGAGGCGGCACGAGTCAACCCAAATGGGATATTATGGGCCAGATACTCGTAGTCTTGGAGGTACATAGGTCGAGTGGGTAGGCAGGTGTAAGCACATGGCATGGTTAGTGATGGGTTCCGTTGACACTACGAGGTATGCACCTAGGTGTGAACTGGGTAGCGAGGTATGTTGGGTACAGAAAAAGAGCCGCATCCTCTGATACCCTCCCTGTTACCCGATGTGGACTTGTACATGTACGTGCACCGAGTACATGTACGTGGACAGACGTGATAGGTAGATACGACAGCAAGTAGACTCTCGGTAGACACTCAGTACGTAAGTACGTAAAGTACGTACTACAGTGTCACAGCGTCCCCTCCACATCTCCCGCCTCGCTGGTCTCCCTTTCCCCTCCCCTTCTCACTTCGCTCTCTGTGCGCGAGTGTGTCCATGTATTCTAAGTCTTCACTAATACTGGTGCTTACACCGATGTTAGTGAGGTACGGGGGTAAATAGTATTCTTCAACCGTATATGCGGAAAATACACCCTGTGGTACCATTGTCACTATCTGAGAAGAGCGAGTACCCGAGTACATTGAACATGGGCCTGTCTGGGTCCCGAATAACAACAAAAATCCCAATTTCTCCTCAATGCAATTCGTATATGTCATTACGTCGTCCTTTGGTTGTCGGCACACAACACACAAGTCGAGAGGCGTCCATAATCATGTCAACAACAGTGCTCGGTGGCCCGTAGGTCAAAGTATACCCAGAATACCAATCTCCATCCCAATCCCAACCCGTCTATTCCCATTCACCACATTCCGCGCTTTGCTGCTTTTCTCTCACCTCTCAAGTAAACATCCAGCTCGTCCTCTTCCCCGCCGGACTGCGGCTCTTGCTCTTCTCCCGCACCACGTACATCTTGTCTCCCTTCTTCACAAACGCGTGGTCGTTTGGCGTGAGTGTCGTGATCGTCTTGGTCTCCTTAACATACGGCCCCGTGATGAGCTTCCGCTCCTTGATTTTCCGCGTGTGCTCAAAGAGTTCGTCTTGTAGCGAGTGGTCGATGTATTTCTTGATAATGATAAATTCTTCGTCGCGCTGCACGTCACATGTGTAAAACGGAAGAGTTAGCAA